TATGAATAAAGCTCTGAAAATTACATATCTAAATTACACCTCGGTCTGAATATCTCAATAAAATTAGATAAAATGTTTATCAACTCGTTTGTGGTATTTTTTCACCTTCATGCGGCCGTTTGAAGAGTCTTTTTATTACGAAATTACTTCCGGCCAAAAGTAATTTTGGAAGAATTTACAGAAATGACGGATAATATTATTTCTGTGATAATTAAGTTTCAAATCTTAAACAACTTTTCCCACCTCTAAAGTTCACTTTCACAGAAAGCAAATACTCTTGGCGTATTCACGAGATTTGCAGAGAATAAACACTTTCATTTAAAATGAATCATGAACAACGTGGCGCCTGACTTTCAATGAAAAGTACATTATTTATTTGCTTGAAGCGCCCTGTGCGCTTATCAAATTTTTGGAGCTTGAGAGTTGGGACGTTTATCTGATGTGGGCGCTTACTGCCCTTATTCGTGGCTAAGCGCTTCTTCAATTTTCACCACTTTTAGCAAGTAGTTAGTTTATTTGGCAACTAAACAATAACTGATAACAAAAGGTGACGATGTACCATGGGGGAGTGAATTTAGAGTTTGTAAACCAGTAAAGAAATTATAATCCTCCCCTGATACATTTCAGTTTCCGCTTATTCGAAGCCGCCGGGCTCTCATTAACTCTCTCTAGGCGCTTATTCGAGGTGGCTGCTTACAAATGATACTATTCTTGCGAAAAGCAAAATCATGATTTAGTGAAAAGTCTAAATAAAAATGCGTATAAAAGAAAAGAGAAGAAGCTCGAAGAAAGCAAAAGACTACACAAATGGTGCGACATGGGCGCAAACCGAAATCCCCAGCGACTTCAGCCGATGAGAGATGCGATGACACCTGAGAAACCTCCTATTAATCAATCAATCAATCGTTTCCTTGGAGGAATTTAAAAATGATGAAGCTTTAATCATCTCACCCCTCTGAAATGGTAGTTACCAACGTTTGATTTTATTATCTTTAATAGATGGGAAGAGTCTTCTTTTTGGAAGAACCGAGAAATTTTTTTCTCAAAAAAAGTTTTTTACATTTTCATAGGATCGTCGTTACTTATCCTTATCTAAAGCTCGAACCAGAGGTCTTTCCTCAGAAACGTGAAAAAAGGCGAAAATTTAAATTAGTCCCATCTTCTGAAAAGCCTTTTACTCTAGAATTTAAATTTTCACAAGGAGAACTTTTATCTTGCCAGAACTCTTGATTCAACAGCTCTATGTGTATAGATGTAGATAAATCATTTCCAAAGCCGAGTTCCCTACACATTTTTGACACCTCTCTGAAAAATACTGATTGGATGTTCCGTATAGTTGAATACAACATAAGTACGTTGAAGATGCGATGGCGATCGATATTCGAAGGCTTATATCTCCTATTTGCGATTGCATCAGAAGCCATGCAAAGGTCTTGTCCACAAGAGAATACTAAAATGTTTAGAGAAAGTACTACAAACTGACTAAAAAGTTTGTCAGAAAGTTCACCGATCATCCGCCATTAGTGGACAATCTTCGCTCTTTGTTGATTTCTAAAACGATTGTTCCAGCTTTGTGCTTTTTTCAGATCCTCTTTTTGTTCTGCCATGAGCTTCTCCAGAAAAGCATACTCCACCTCCATTGTCTGATAACTCCAACTTAAGTCCTCCAGCCGCTGGACAATATCGACGTACCAATGATTCTTAAGAGGGCTGTCATGGCGCGAGTTCAGGGTTGGAAACTCCGATGGAGAGAGAACCATTTTCTCGTTGTTTACAAATTTATGCAGTGTAGAATTTACGCCATCGGTGGCCATGGTTTCCTATGAAATAAGAAATTCATAGTGAGGCGACTTTTGCGAAAATTCTTGTTTGTCATTTATGGTGTCTGTCAGTCAACTGACCAGCAAGATAGTCAATCAGTCAGTTAGTTGATCAGTTAGTCAATCAGTCTATATGCATTTAGTCAGTCTACATGCATTTCCCATGCACGCGTCATAGCAGTGTTTATTATGCATAAGGATTTTACTTCACTGTAACTGCAGCTTAAATCTATAATGAAAGCAAAGCGTTTTTTCCTAAGTGTGAAACTTGTCTGTATTCGCATTGAATATTACTTAGTTATCCTGCACACTATTAGTTAACGTTTCAGACGCATAAACTTAATATACTCAAAGAGCGAACTGACATGGATTCTTGAAGCTTTTGTGAAGCGTTTCGTAATTCATGGCTATAATTTTTTACTAGAACTTGCCAAGATGAAAACGCGTATTTATATTGATTTGTTTCAGCCGACAACACACATAATCAAAGGATAATTGCCTCTAATTTAGACAGAAAACCCACAAAAAAAGACTGTACTAATGAAGGCAATTAATGTACCGTTGTTTAACATCAACAAGTCAAAAAGTTTGGAAACAAATCACAACATAAGTACCTTTTAGGCGGAGTAAAATCTAGGTCAGTTCTTCTTCATTAGAGAGAGCGTGAACAAGTGGTTGAGTATCTGTGCTCAGTTTACGAAGTCTTGTTTATAGTGTACGTGGGCAGAACGCGTTAGCTGAAGTTCTTAACATTCTCGAGATTTTACATCGCACCGTTCTTTTGTGTAAATTATTCTGAGAGTGAGTCAGTTCTTTGTTTCAAAAGTTCCTCTTTCAAATGTTTTCTTTTTTCTCGCAGTTAGCCTCCATTTGTGAGAGGGTACGTATGTTAACCCCCGCGGGTCTTAAACGACTCGACCTCCTTGAAGAGAAACATTGGAGCCTTGATTTAAATAGGATAAGAAAGCTGGTAAATTTTGAGCTTAGCCGTTGAAGAAAGTGGAATGCTTTTGCTTTTTGTCGCATGTGTTGATATTCAGGCTTTCCTGTCCCACGCTCGACAAAAAAAGCCAACGAACAAGAAAAAAAAAAAAAGAAGAAAATATTTTTCAACTTTGACTAAGTTTTTATGGTTTGACTTCGAACAGGACTTAGACCATATAATCAGAGAAACACACAACCATCGTGTAATTATTTAGGTCTTCATCCTCCCAAATAAATCGTAGTCTGCCAAGCCAGTTATTGGGTTTTCCAGTTTTTCCGCGCTTTAGATCGTTTTCAGCCGAATACTGCTTTCGAAACTGTGTTCTCATATGTGGCTTAAAACGTCTACACTCGATTGCAAAAACGTCGACACCTAAATAGCGTGATCCATAAATGATCAGACATATGGGCTTTATGAGAAATATTCGCACAGTTACATAATCAATAAGCTGTTCTTTTTCCATTATTCATGAAAATCTTTGTTTATGATAATTCTTTACCACGCGCAACCACCTGTGGTTCTTACGCACAGGAGTATCCAAAAAGCCTTTGTGTCCCATCGTTCATTGCTAACGCTTTTTGGGCGTAAATTTTTTTGCAATCAGGTGTATGTAATTTTTTGAAATTCGATGGACTTCTGGATATTTATACTATTTAACCTTGCTTTCTATACTCTGTGAATCCGCCTAATTGTATGATAATGAGTCAAACGACAGTGTTACTTACATGAAAAGGTTTTCTTCGAACTTCACAGCTTTCCCTATTCGGAAACAAAGTCACGTTTTGAAACCCGCTGATGTTTTGTTGTCGACCTCGCGGACTCAAGGAGTCATGCTTTTCCGGCGTCGAGGTCCTAGGTGTACCCTCCACGGGCTTTTTAGTCACTTGGCTCGATACTGACAAAGACAAGGTGTCTCCGGAAGTACTTTTCTGCGGAGTGGTGACTGACGTGTTGTTTCCTTTCTGTTGAGGGCTTTTTTGTGAGCCAGGCATCTATAAATCAAACAGAAAACATGTAATCAGCATGTTAGCTTCTGCGCTTCAGATTTAGATTTTGTGGTTCCCACGAGGCTGCTTTAAAAACAAGAAAAATCGAGGAGAACATTTCGCCTTTCCTCTTGTAGTTTTACCACATACTGAATTGATCTAGTTCTTTATTTTCAAAACTTCCCATTATTCTTCTGCGAACTCATAATTCTTCTGCAATGATGTCTAAATTCAGTCAGAAACTAGCTTTTCTTGTAAATCCGTTTATTACTGGATCTTCAAACTCTCATCCGTTTCTGTAAAGTAAGATTTTAGCTGCAATTTACAAATTACTTGAAAAATCATAACTGAAGAGCCAACAATTTAACTGTGCAGGCCAACTTATATATTTTTTTATCTAATATATCTTTAACCAAAGAGTTTTGGGGCAAAATCAGTACAGGGTTATCGAGAAATAATTATCAAACCTTTTGCAATTTGCATTTTAATGTACCAGTCAGGGGTATTCCCGCCCAAAACAATACTGAATTTGAACTAATCTGTCGAGGTAAATGCTCTTCAGGTATCAATGTTGTCATCGATATTTCTAGTTTAGTTTGGGCTTCTCATTCAAGAACAATTTTTTTTTTAACATATCCCGTACAGTATAAAAAATTTCCCTTTCATTTTTCACCGACTTCTCTTCCACATGTTTGAGAGCAAATTTTCCAACAATAGAGAAATCTCATTTCACTTTTTTTTTTCAAGTAATGCAGGTGCACCTTATTGTCATTCTTTTCAACAAGTATGTTCCTGCAGCGAAGACGTCGAGATGAATTTGTCGAAATTAACATAAATATTCAAAATGAATAAAATAAAAATAAAACCTGGCAAATCGGGAAGTTTTGGTCGACATTTTTGATCTCGTAGCAGTTTGATTTGGCAGATGCTTTGTTTTTGCCTTTCGCAACCAAACCATTATGAACAAATATTCCTTAGCATACACAATTTGGACGTTTCTGGGATAATGGCTTGGGTAAACATTACAAAAAAACTACCTCCAACCAAAAATTTTGTCCAAACTGTCTGATGCATTACCAGTTATGTTGTAAATCAGATTGAAGATCTTTATTCTCATTGTCTTCAAGCCTTTTTGTTAAGGAAATATACTAGCTTTCTTTTCTCTGTTTTTTTAATTCAAGCGAAGTGTCACGGGAAAATCAAAATAGCTACGGTTCAAATTATCGTGTTCCCTACCTTATCTGGATTTGTTTCTCGGCTCGTGTTTGTAGAGAGATGAATCTACAAGGCAACAAAAACTAAAAAATCAAATGAACTTCGTTATATCTTAAAAAACTTAGCACAAATAGGGATCTGTTCCAAGAAGATGCTGCGCGTTTGAATGACTGTCATAAAGAACTACTGTTATATTCAACCTACCATCACTGCTGAGACATATGTAACCTGTTCTTCAGGAACAGATTTTAACGGCAATCCCACTGATCTAACTCGAGGAGTTTTAGATCTTGATGTGACATACTGCGAGTGATACATGTCCAGTGGGGGAAAATTAATCGAGATTGTATTTAGATTTTGTCGGCGCACTCTTTCCTGCAGCTGTTTCCGCGTGGTTTTAAGGACGTAAATTAATTCATAGTATGAATTATTAATCAACAAAAGACCCGCTGAAACAGAATTTTACGACTCAACCTCCGATACGTACATCATAATACCCGCGATAATCGACAAAATTTATAGTTTCGAAAATTTGCATTGCATATTCGGAATTTAAACGCCTTGGATATTTGAAACTTGCAAAATTAAGTGTAAATTATCATGATATGTACATCATTTTTCTGCTAAGATAGGAATTTATTCTAATCTTTCAGTTTGGCTTACTCTAGACTGCTCTAATCTTCTTTGTCTTTATGGTTACCAACAGGCAGCAGGATTTCGATGTCCACTGACAAATAGACGTGCATATCTTCGCACCAAAAGAAGGCTAATGCTTATTTATGAAAGATGCGAAAGTTGGAAATGCAAGGAAATCGTGATTTGATGTGCTAGGAAATGAGAAAAATACTCTTATATTTCAATGAGAGAAAGCAAAGGACGCAATCAAGCTTTTTTCTAATAATTCAATATCTATTTTAAAAACATTCCGGTTCTTTTAAGGGGCCAAGGATGTCTTTTTTCCTTCAACGTTTTTGTGACAAGTCCAAAATGTGTGTTTTTGGTCAGTATTTTGGTGTATTTCGTTATGTTATCTCTTCAGTCGGTGAGGTCCTGGAAAAGCAATACGGAAATAAAAAACAAAACGGGATTGGACGTTGCTAAGTGCTTCTATTCAGATCCTCGGTAACCTGACCATCTAGAAAATTTGGTATGGTTGACATTGGGTCATGAAAGCTTTCACTTGGCAACAATTTGCAAAATAATAATAATGATAATAAAATTAAAAAATGGAGAAGTAATTGGAAGTTCATATCTTTTACTTTTTAGAAAACAACTAAATTAAATGGCCATGATACGCTGAAACGATGCCACAAGTTACTTGTCACAACAGTGCATAAGAAAAAAGGGCTTGCCAAGAAACGGGCTTTTAATTACGTCAAGTATTTCAAAATTTGGAAAATATCTCCTCATTTTGTGATACACGCCATATTGTTTCTTTTATCTTACACATGTCAATTAATTGATGCTAATTGCGGCCTAAAGATTTCTGCGGTTCAGAACAGCTTGCCGGGAAAGACATGGCCAGGCGAAAGTTTTGAGTGTATCAACTCGTGGTAGGCATGCCATCAAAAAAGAAAGAGATTTAATCGCCATAAAATAAATTAAGAACGATACGAAATGATTATTAGAGGAAGAAAGAAAAACAAGAAAAAAAGAACGACTTCGATGGGCTATTGTCGACGGCTTGCCCAATACACGTGATTTTTCAATTTTTCGGCATGGATAACACGTTTGAAAACAAAAAGTTAATAAAATCGTCATCAAGGCCTTAACTTTTGTGTCGCAAAATGCCAGAAATTGAAGTAAAATTATAAGAGTGGTATCAAATAGTCTTGATACGTTTAGTTTAAACCTATGATGTTAGTAGTTTAATGCTAGTGCTGCCTTTCGTCAACAGTTGATATGATGTTCATGCTTTTTCATGCGTAATAGAAACACCATTGTGGAAGTACTGAATTATAAATGTGGGTTAGATCTGGACTAAATGTCTTAAAAATTGTTTGCAATGTATTTTCTGATTGTGAGACCTTACCTAAAAATATTGTTGTGAAGTATTCTGCTCGTTACAAACAAGGAACGACTGCTGAAGGAAGCTAAACTAAAATATTTTCTTTTTGCACCATTGATGGTCCAGTTTCCGAAACACCAGTGAGCTCAATTTTTAAAGAACATATGATATATTTTACCAATGGTTTGTTGTAATAACAATATGTCATGGCTAACGAACCTCATTTTCAAATTGTTCATCGCTAGTAGCTGTGACATCGATATCCACAGCACCACCGGCCTGAGATGTGTTGTCTTCAAATTCAGTTTGTTGAACCATAGTTATGATAGATAGCGGCTGATCTGGAACTCTAGTTGAAAGGGAAGATGCCTTTTCTTAGCTCTCAAATGAGGGTCAGAACAATAATAATTTGAACTATTGCGACAGATTTTCATATTATCGTACAAAACAGAACCGACGCTAACGGACTGCATTGTGAAATCCGATCATATTGTGCACGCAGACAATAGCTTTGCATATGCAGTCGTTACCAATTGTTTGGATATCCCTTGAGAGGCTAGGCTGCTTTTGTTTTCCTCAATCGAGTTTTTAATGCCCAAGCTGTCGAAAAGTTAAGACGTTGAAGCTTTGAATTGCCAAACAAAAGATAACAAAAGATTATGTCAACGTAGTATAACGAAAGGACATTTTTCAACGTTATTTCACAATTCAAAGCATTATTTTAGTCATGTTTGTCGTGTTGTTGGAATTTAATGACTCGTATTTTGCCATCTCGTCCAGCAAAGGCCAACTCTTTTGCGAGCTGAAAGAGTTCGGATTTTCACGTTTATGTAATTTGGGTGTTTTTTTTTTCGCTCAAGGAGTATCACGATTGCAAATTGAAGCCCGTGTCTACACTACCCAGTGTTACCTAAGGAACAGGAAGTAGGCTGCTATGGAGGTGTTGCTGACCATTTATGTCTCTGTGATAAGCTGGATCCTACACGCATTTTTGATCGATTCTTGCCTATGATCTATTGGAAGACAGATGCATAGATGACGTCCCCCGGGATTGACAATATAAAACAAACAGATTCCATGCGTGTTGCATTGGCTCTGTACAGCTACAGATCATAGGATTTGTCAAAATGTGATTAGAATAACAGGCAGCGCCTCGAGTGCCACTTTTTTGTTCTTACCTCATCTGTGATCTATTACTGAACGGACCTACAACAACATGGAATCTCTTTGTTAAATAGGGAGGTGCAGAATTCTGCTCCACCAATTTCGTCCTTGGAACAATTTTCCTTTCACTGGCGGGCCACTCATTTGGGTTATTGAGTTGATGAGTTTTTGAAATACTTCTGATTAATTGGCCAAGTATTAACTGAAATGGTTGAGTGTCAATATAACAAACGGTTCAGCTTACTGCACTTTGGTTCGGTGACTTGACACAAACGGTTCAGAGTAGTGTGAAATGGCCAAAGTTATCGGCAAATGGTTAATCGTAAGCCGCTATGGTATAGTGTTGCATCAACGAACTCACCGTAAAGTGAAATGGTTTAACGTGACCCCAAATGGTTTAACGTGACGACAAATGGTTTAGTAAAACCCGAAATGGTTTAGTGTTACAGCAGATGGTTTACGCGGTAACCGCCAAAAAATGGACAAGTCTAGCTTGAAATGAACAGTCTATGTAGGGTCTTACGTCACAACCCTTACGTCATTCAGATCGAATTTGGCGCGAAATGCGCCAGAACGATCGCGTTAACGAGGTATTCGCCACTTCGTCCACTCGACGTTCAACACAGGAAGAAATTATTTCTGCAACCTCGTCTAATAGACTCAGCGGACCTCATTCCGGTAATAATATTTTTTCGGTTGCCTTTTTTCGTTTGCAAGCGAATAAATTTATACCCTCATCATCAGCTGCAATATCAGTAAGTAAATGATATTTCGGATGAAACCGTTTTTATCGAGCAGCTGAACGCTCAGCAGCTTAATAATCAGTTAGTGATAAGCTTATATTTCACAATAATTTATTTTCAGATCGTTTCAAACCATATATTTTTTAATCTCTAATTTTTATAGTTTGTTAAAACTTAGTAAAGCCGCAAATATTAGAAATTTTATCTTGAGGTCATCAAATTTGGAATAGTTGCAGCTTAACCATGTTGGGAGTTCAAATTGCTATCAGCCAGTTTAAAATTTTTCTTTTGTTCTTTCCTGTTTCTTACAGCGAAAACTGCTTTTCTTTAAATGGAGAATTCTTACCATAGTTAGGCCTAACCATGGTAAGAAATCTCCATTTTACTACCTCAAGATAAAATAAAAATCTGAAACAAAAGGAATGGCAAAAATTCAAATAAAGTGCATCATTTTTCGCGTGACGCGATAGCATACTTACTGTTTAGACATTCAGAACCATTGCTTGGAAACGTGATAAAGCGATTCATTGTTTTAAGACGACGAAAATACAATTAAGGGGCTTTTAAAAAAAACTATAAAAACTATTTAGTTAAAAGCTACATAGTTATAAATATTTTATAGCGAAAACTGCTGTACTTTAAATGGAGAATTCTTACCATGGTTACGCGTGACCATGGTAAGAATTCTTCATTTTGCTACCTCAAGATAAAATAAGAATCTGAGACAAAAGGAATGACAAAATACGGATAAAATGCATCATTCATTGGTAGGAATCGTGATCAAGTGATACATTTTTTTTTACGGCGTAAACTAGCTGCTGTAACACTAAACCATCTCGAGTTTTATTACACTATTTCTCGTCACGTTAAACCATTTGACTTTACGGTGAGTACATTGATGCGATACTATACCATTGCGGCTTACTATTAGCCATTTGCCGATAACTTAAGCCATTTCACACTACTCTGAACCGTTTCTGCCAAGTCACAAAGTACGGTAAGCTGAACCGTTTCTGCCAAGTCACAAAGTACGGTAAGCTGAACCGTTTGTCATTCGACACAGAACCATTTCAGTTACCACTTGACTACTCGCGTTTTTATTGAATCAGTTCAACAAGGGTGGCTGCACAGCTTCTGAATTGTATAAACCATTTTTTGTTTGCATATTTGATTTCACCAAAGGCGACTTGTCCATTTGTATTTTAAATAAATCTCTTGAGGTAAGATAAACCGTTCTCCAACAGACAATTAGAACATTTCTGTTTATTACAGACCATTTATTATACCTGTATTTTTGGCGGTGACGGCCACCCCTACTAGAAGTAAGGATGTTTCAACCTTTTTGTTTTAACCATATCATAACTGATTTATCGTTCATATAGGTATAAAAAATAACTACAAAGCAAGATTAACGAACTTTCGAGCAATCGAGCTCATGTTAACAAGAATATGAGCATGCGAGCAGTTGCAAAAATTTTGCTAGCACGAGCAAGCGAGCAAGCGAGCAAGCGAGCAAGCGAGCAAGCGAGCAAGCGAGCACCTGTGTAATTTTTGTGAGAAATTCGAGCAAAGGCCAAATTTTGCGAGCACTTTTAAATTGAATGGGACCATTCGATACCCGTAAAAGTATTCCCACGTACGAAATTTACCAGCCTTTCTTTTTGAATTTAGTAAGAAGATCAAGCGGTCTTGTTTCTTCTTTTAAGTAGCAAAAACAGCTGTGTAAATATTAAATAAAGAACTTGAAATTCAAGTTCTGCATCTTTCTACTGTTATTTAAAGGAGAATCTTGTCTAGAAGCATGTGGTTTACTCATTACTGAAATTTTTAAAAG